AATTAATTAATTAACTAACTAATTAATTATTAATTTTTGAAAAAGAAGAAGAAGAGGCATGCCCTGGTGGCTCAGTCAGTTAAGTCTCTGCCTTCCGCTCAGGTCATGATCCCAGGGTCTTGGGATCGAGCCCCGCATTAGGCTCCTTGCTTGGCAGGGAGCCTGCTTGTCTCTCTCCCTCTGCCCCCACCTCTGGCTTGTGTTCGTGCTTTCTCTCTCTTGCACGTGCTCTCTCTTTTAAATATTAAAGAAGAAAAGTGAGATTGATTTTATTCTGATCCCAAAGGATGGAACTAGAATGCAGAATGGAGGCTCCTCTTCTTAAAGCTGTATGACTTTGGGAAAGTCTTTGAATTCTTCCGGCCTCAACTTCCTCACTTTTGCAGTGTCCTAATTATTACCCAGGGTTGCTTCCCATACGAAATAATGGAAATGAAGCCATTTAATAAATTTTTTTTTAAAGATTTTATTTATTTATTTGAGAGAGAGAGAATGAGAGATAGAGAGCAAGAGAGGGAAGTGGGTCAGAGGGAGAAGCAGGCTCCCTGCTGAGCAGGGAGCCCGATGCGGGACTCGATCCCGGGACTCCAGGATCATGACCTGAGCCGAAGGCAGTCGCTTAACCAACTGAGCCACCCAGGCGCCCCATTTAATAAATCTTAAGTACTAGGGGCGCCTGGGTGGCTCAGTCGTTAAGCGTCTGCCTTCGGCTCAGGTCACGATCCCAGGGTCCTGGGATTGAGCCCCGCATCGGGCTCCCTGCTCCGCGGGAAGCCTGCTTCTCCCTCTCCCACTCCCCCTGCTTGTGTTCCCTCTCTCACTGTGTCTCTCTCTGTCAAATAAATAAATGAAATCTTTAAAAAAAATTTGAAGTACTAAACACTTGATTAGCCATAACTGTGCCATGAACTCGGTGACCTTGGGCTTTGGTTTGTTCATTTAATAAGGGTTAATGGGCAATTCCAACGACCATGCTCTGGGGACACAGAAATGTATAAAACCTAGGGCGCCTGGGTGGCTCAGTTGGTTAAGTGACTGCCTTCGGCTCAGGTCATGATCCTGGAGTCCCGGGATCGAGTCCCGCATCGGGCTCCCTGCTCAGCGGGGAGTCTGCTTCTCCCTCTGACCCTCTTCACTCTCGTGCTCTCTGTCTCTCATTCTCTCTCTCAAATAAATAAATAAAATCTTTAAAAAAAAAAAAGAAATGTATAAAGCCTAGTCCCCACTCCCAAGAGTTGCCCTAGTTGGAGAATCTAGGGGGCATTCTAAGTTTAGCGATCTTGGGCTCTGTCTGCTCTTCCTTTTTACATGAAAAGTTGCCACCAAGAAGAGTTATTCCAGAGTCAGAAAACAAGAAGGCTCCAGAAGGCTTCTCTGAAAATGCCTTTACCACAGAGAAAGCCATGGGTCTCCTCTACTCTAGTACTTCCCAAATGTTAGTGAACATAGACACACTGGAGGATCTTGCTAAAATGCAGATTCTGGGGTGGAGCTCTTAAGCTGTATTTCCAAAACGCCCCCCACGTGATACTGCACAGACCAAATTTTGAGTAGCCCCAGTTTAATTTTCTAGGTTAGTGCACAGTCACCTGGAAAGTCACAGAAAGCTTAAAGAGCATAGAGTAAAAACAGGGTAGGGGAAACTTGCTGAGAAAGCTCTCCTTGAAAGAGGGAAGCAGTGCAGGCTTTGAAGGAAGACAGGGAGCCCTGACTCTGACAGATTAGTGAAGAGCACCGAGAACCCACCCACAAAGTTTTTGTTTGTACGCAATCATTTCACCATCCAACCCCAGAGACACCCCCACCCCCCAAGAAATCACTGCGGACTGGGCCTGCAGCTTCCACCTCCCTTCGGTGAAGCCTGATTCCTACCAACAGGTTGTGTTGTAATTACCGGGTTAGGTGCCTGTCTCTCACCCTGTAATATGAACTGGGGAGGAGGAACAGTGCGCTGTGTATTCTTGTTCGGCCCCCGCCTCCCCCATACTTACTTAACGTTTGTTGTCAGTGTTTTTCAGGGTTTGCGGATTCTTGGGAGGCCCACATCCAGGCCTAGCGCACTCCCCACTCACTTCACCAGGGGGCGCGGCGGACCCAGCAACACAGCGACGGTGACCCACCGCCCCACCGACTCAGAGCGCTCAGCGGGCGGTCTCCACTGCCGGGAGCGGGGGGGGGGGGGGAGCACCCTACCACCTGGGCGGGAAACCGAGGCAGCGCCGGGCCACTGCCCAAGTTTTCTAAAGGGTTCCCCGACTTAGGGAGGCGGGAGGCGCCGCCGGAGCCTGGGTGCCCGGAGCTCGGCCCGCCGACGCCCGGCGCCCCGGCTCAGGGCCGGTAACCAGGCGCACATGGCCCGCCCGGCCCTGTTTGTCCTGGCAGCGCGCCGCCGCTATTTGAGGCGGTTTTTATCTCCCAGAAACCAGCAAAACCCCAAGCGGAGTCTAGGGAAGATGAAAGGGGCCGAGGGGCCGGGAGGGGAGGACCGCGAGGCCGCGGCGGGCGGGGGCTGGCACCGGACAGGCGGGGACCGGGAGGCGAGGGGGCCAGGCCCTGGGGGGTCCCGAGGAGCCTGCCCGGCGGGGTGGGGACGGGAGCCCGGGACCCCCGCCCCTCGGTCGGCCCCTCCCACCCCCCGCGCGCCCCCAGAGCGCGTCTCTTACGCCGCTGCCCCCGACCCCCGCCCGCGGGAGGAGCCCTGGAACGCGGCCCTCTTCAAAGCGCCTTTGAAGCGGCGCGCCCCGCCTGAGGGCAGGAGGCTTCGCACCTGGCCGGGGCGGCCTTGGCGGCAGGCTGAGGAGGGGGGCTGACCGCCCGAGCCGGCGGGGAGAGGGGGGGACGGTCGCCGGGGGCGCCACCCGTGCGCCCCCTCAGCCCCGCGGGGGAGCCCGGGGGCGGGGGCCGCACAAAGCCCTATTGTGGCTGCGGGCTGGCCGCCACAGAGTGGCTTTTGTTGTCCGCTAACTCGGCGGCGGGCACGGCTGATTGCAGGCCCCGGGCAGGGGGCGGTTACGTGCCAGGCCGGGGCCGCCCGCCGGGACCCCGCTCGGGGCCGCGCAGTAGTCCGCACCGCGGCCGCGGGGCCCTGCCCTGGCCGGGGTCGGGAGGCAGAGGACGGGAGAGAGCCGGGGAAGAAACCTCCCAACTCGACGGAGAGCTGTGGCCTCTCAAAAACTGACCTCAGCCCGGGGGCCTGGCCGACGGAGCGTTCTGCCGCGGGCACACTGTGCCAATGTGCACGATGGGATGCCCGTGGGGAGTCTCCAATTTGCCAAGGAAAAATCCTGTGGCTCACTCTTCCTTCCTCTTTCTCTTTTCTCACCAGGACAAAATTTAAAATCGAACTTTTTATTAAATAATAAAAAAAAAAAAAGACTCCATGAGGGCATGATCCTTTCCCTTCCACAATATTACCCTCTCCCCAAGCTCCAGCGGCTTTAACCCTTTAACTTGGGGCCTTGAGGGAGCAGGAGATAGGAAAGGAGGATCCAAAGTCACAGGAAAGGCATTCAAAGGCACGAAGCGGCTTTAAAAGTCACCAGAGGTGGAGTTGGGGGCATTGGAAGTCCCTGGTTGGGGGCCTGGGGATGCAACCCCAAATCAGCTCGGGGACCTCTGTCCTCCTAGCGCTATAAATTCTTCTTTCTCATGGCTTCTAGGCACCAGCCTAGCAGTGCCTTGTGCAGAATAGGCACTCAATAAATACTTGATTTATTTGAATCTGATCCCAGAGAAAGCCTCCCCCACCTATTCTTCAGGAGAGGCACCTCCAAACCAGTGTGCTCCTCCTGTTAGGTGGGCTCCCCCAAAAAGCATGTCCAGGATGGCAGCTGCAAGCTCTCCATAACCATGGCAACAAGGGATTAGCCTGATGGGGTCATGGTGTCAGGGGAGGGGCAGTGGAAGAACAGTTTGCTCTGGGGTCAAGGGAGCTGGGGTACATTCCAGTCCTCCCCTCCATAGGACTTGAGGTTTCACAGCTTCAGGCTGGGGCTGAGAATATTAGGGATTCCCTAATTGAGAGACACCCCATCAACTCTTTAACAGAGATCTAGCTAACCAACCCTATTAGCAGAGATTCTATTAAAAGAGAAACCCCATTAGCTGAGACCCTGATGATAGAAATTCTATTAACAAGATCTCCACTAATACTTTTTCTGTACAGAGATACACTTAGCTAAAATTTCCATAGCAGAAATGGATCTCCTTCCCTCCCCAGCTCACTCTACCTGACCTGTCATCATAACTTAGATAAATAGAATTATTATTATTATTAGTATTCATTTCTCTTGGAACATAGGGGTTAAATATACAGGCCTGGGGGCAGCCTCCCTGACCCTGGGGTCACCCCATCTTTGGGATCAGATCCCCACTGGTCTGCCCCCCTCTAGGCACCCTGCTCCCTGCCAGGTCACTAACCCCAAGCCCCCTAACTCTGGTTCCTAATGAAGAGGCCACCAGGGGGGCAATAAATTATCATTATCATCATCATTATCATTATGTTTGTAAAAACAAAAACAAAAATGCTTTGGAGCATGGAAAGCAAGTGGAAGAAGCAGCTGGGAAGACTGGAGCCTGGAAGCTAAGCAATAGTGGTAAATACGCTTGGGAAGCAGAAAGGATGCTTGTCAAGGAGTTAGTGAGCTGGAGAAAGAAAGTGTTGGGAGCCCAGATGGAAGGAAAATGAGTTGGGGTGGTAAGAGCAGAGGAGAGGGAAGTTGTGAGCAGGGGCAAGGGAAGATCTTAGGAAGCCAGAGTGCAGAAACCAGGCACAAGGTGAGGGCCTGAGATGAGAGTCTGCGGAACAGGCTCACGGCAAAGGGAGGGGTGAGCTGCGGAGGCATGCTGGGAGACACCCGGGCCCAGAACGGCCAGGAGAGATATGGCGAGAGCCCCAAGGGCAGCATGCATGGGGCAAAGGGGGTGAGGGGCAAGCAGTGGTCCACAAAGCCGGGGGAGGCTGGCAAGGCAGCGCTGGGACTGGAGACCCTCCACCCCGCTCAGATCTCCAGCAGGTTGCTCTGCTCTGGGCTGCCTTCAGGGGCTTTCTCTGGGGGTGCTGGGGAGGCTGAAGTTCGGGGCGTCTGACTGGCCTCCTCTTCCCCTGCACTGCGGCCCTCCCCCAGTTCCTTGGGGCCGCTGGGAGGGGGCCCTGGGCCTGGCTCGCCGTGGGTACGTTGGTGTTTGCTCAGGTGGTCACTTCGGGTAAAGCGCTTGGAGCAGAGCAGGCAGGTGAACTTCTTCTCCCGGGTGTGGGTGCGCACATGGCGCTCCAGCTCGTCCGAACGGGTGAACCTCTTGCCGCAGAAGAGCCAGTTGCAGACGAAGGGCCGCTCGCCTGTGTGCCAGCGCAAGTGGGCCTTCAGGTGCGAGGCCTTGCCGTACACCTTGCCGCAGCCCGGGATGTGGCAGCTGTGGATGGGCTTCTTCCGCAGCCCGGCTGCTGCCGCCCCCAGGCGCTCTAGCTCCTGGCAGTTAGGGCAGTCGCAGGAGGAACGCCCCGCTCCACCGCCTCCGTATCCACCACTGCCCCCAGAGCCGGCCCCCCGGGGGGGTTTGGCCCCACCGCTCCCCTCCAGCTGCCCACTATTGCTCACTGCCTTGGGTTTATAGACGTCTTGGGGCAAGACATGCTGGGGCCCCGGTTGCAGGAGGTGAGGAGCTGGGTAGGGAGCTGGATTAAGGGGGGCAAAGTCGGACGGGTAGGTGGGCAGCTGGGGGTTCAGTGGAGGCTGAGCAGGGCCTGTGGGCAGTGTCCCTTGCAGCCCATCACCCTGGGCCTGCCCACCACCTAGCCAATTGCCCCCGGGGTGCATGTCCCACCAAGGAGTAGGAGCGTTGCCTGGGCCCGGTGAGATGCCTGCATGGATGCCGGCCTTGTACCAGGAGCCATAGGGGTGCGCCATGTCCAGAGAGGTGTAGACACTGGGCAGGCAGTCAGAAGAGCTGTGGCCTTTGGGCACTAGTAGCCCAGGGTCCTGGGTGCCTGTGGGTCCAGGGAATGAGTGGGAAAAAGGAGGGTAGTCATTGGCATAGCCCGAGGTGGGTGCAGGAGGACTGCCTGCAGGTGAGAGGAGCCCATTGGTGCTTGAAAAGGGGGCTGGGTAGGCATCCCCCATGGTTTTGGGGGCTGAAAGGTCACTGCCCACAGAGTATGGCTTCTTGGCGCCTGCTTTGCCCAGTGTCGCTGAGTCCCGCAGAGGGCTGGTGCCACCAAATTTGCTGCACGCTGCCGTCAGCATGGCCAGGGGACTGGAGCCATAGTGAGCTTCCTCCTGTGGACAGAGGGAAGCACGGCTTAGGGGAAGAGGAGGAGAAGTGCAGAAGGAAGGGCAAAACTCTAGAGATGTGGAGAGCAGAACCAAGGGGTCCAGGAAGAGTTGAAGAGAATGGGAGGTAGAGGTGGAGGGGCCAGTGAACACGAGGCCCCAGGGCAAAGCTCAGATGGAGTCATGGGGAGGAGAGCCAGGTCCAGACTGCACCCTGACAACCTGATCCAGGAGGCAGGAGGCAGAGCTCACTGTGGAGTTGCTGGGGTGCCAGGGCGCCTCAGAAGAACAGGAGACGCTGCTTAAATAGCCACGAGAAGAGCCAAGGATGGATGCAGGACCTAGGTGAAATGAGAATTAGGGGTCCTACCCCTGGAAGTAGGTTCAGAGCAAGGGCCATGGTCAGAGACTTGGAGAGGAAAGATGAGGCTCAAAGAGTAACACAGGGAGAAAATGAAGTATTAGGGGACTGCAGTTGCCTCCACTCCAGATTTGCTCAGCTTTACCCCATATTCCACTTCCTGTCTCTGCCTCAGCTCTTGACTACGGCAGTGAGTGGCCTGGTCTCCCTGAGGCCACAGCCTCATGTTCCTGGTAAGGAATCTCTTGGCAGGGATTCTAGGGCTGGGGTGCAAGAGGAAGCGACGGGAGACACTGGGACATTGAGAGGGAACAGGGCTGCGGCCAAGCCAGGACTGTGGCTGAGGCAAGAATGTCTTTCAAGCAGGCAGGGGCGCCTGGGTGGCTCAGTTGGTTAAGCGACTGCCTTCGGCTCAGGTCATGATCCTGGAGTCCCGGGATCGAGTCCCGCATCGGGCTCCCTGCTCGGCGGGGAGTCTGCTTCTCCCTCTGACCCTCTTCCCTCTCGTGCTTTCTATCTCTCACTCTCGCTCTCTCTCTGAAATAAATAAATAAATAAAAAGATTTTCAAAAAAGAATGTCTTTCAAGCAGGCAGTGGGTACCTCCTGCTTTGTGGAGCCAGCTGGTACCCCTTTGGGAAGGCTGGAGGAGCCGAAGTCCTCAAACCCCTCCAGGACCGGGAATTGGGATGGCTAAGATATTGGCTCATGGCCTCATCCCTCCATGTCCAGTGTCCCCTAACATGTAGCCTACACATGTAGCTGGTCTCTCTTCACCCTTCCAGCACCGTGAGTGAAGGAAGATACGTAGATGTGGGGCACAGGGCTCTTTGAGAAACACAAAATGCCCTTAATACTTATCATGCTGCTGCTACCAGGCCAAACCACCCTGAGATGCCCATCCGTCAGTAGCTCATGGTACCCCTGCCTGGGTCAGCCTCAGGATGTGCCAGGAGGAGATACTGTCCAGAATCCGGGGCTGGTACAGACATCCATTACTGAGAATCCCACCCAAAAAGATGCCCTCAAAAGCTGACCCTGTACAGTTCCCTGGCTGGGGCCCTCAAAAGCTGATGTATCTGGTACCTTCCCAGCTGAAAAAGAACCCAAGCGTCCAAGACCCGCCTGGTCCCTCTGAGCATGCAGCATGTGTGTGTGTGTGTGTGACACCAATCCTACAGCTACGTTTGGGGTTTTAAGGTTGCGGCGAGGGGCCTATGCCCTCATCACTCCCGCACTGCTCCCCAAGTGCAGACCTGCCGCTCCCCTGCCCAGTCACCTCTTTCTGAGGTCCTGTCGACCCCACAGACTCCCAGATTTGAGCCACCAAAACCTTCCTGAAATCCGGCTATGGGAAAAGCCCTGGGTCCTCCCTAGCCAAAGTTTCCCTAGAGCCCCTGGTCTCCCAAGCAGAGGGTAAGCTGAGGCAGGGTAGCTGGAGGGGCAGGACTCAAAGCCTAGCAGAAAGGTAAAAGCATGGAGTGCGAAGGAAAGAGGCAGAGACCCAGAACCGGGAGGAGCGACAGACCCTGCACAGGGTGAGGCACAGACGAAGAAGCCACCGGGGGTGGGGGAGGGGGAGCAGAGGGGAAAACTGGCATTAAGGGGCAGAAATGGGCAGAGACCCAAAAGAGCAGAAAGGTGAAAAGACAAAGGGCAGGGAGAGAGAGGGAAGCAGAATAGACAAAGAAGTGATGGAGAGAGCCTGGGCTAGGAAGGCGGAGGAAAACAGAGAGGGAGAGGAGGAAGAAAACAGAAAAGGGGGAGGGGGAGAAGACAGATCTCCTACCTAAGAGAAAACCACCACGATGCTGGGCCCCAGAAAACCCCCAGACCAGGCCAGGCCACTCCTCCCTCCTTCTCCCCCTGACCGCTTCTCCCCCTTGGCCCAGCCCGGCTCCGTTGGTTTCCCTGCGGTCGGTTTATTTTTAAAAACGCCGACGCCGTCCCCCCCGCCCCCCCGGGCCCGGCCCTCACACTGTGGCCACAGGGGCCTCCGCCAAGCCCAGGGACCCCACCCAGCTGAGGAGAGGGAAGGAGGGGTGAAAGAAGGCAAGCAGCCCCAGGCCAACAGGAGACCCCAGCCCTGGAGCGAAGGCCCCTAGGGCCCCTGAGAGCAGGGAAGCCGGAGCGAGGCACCCGCCCCACTCGGACGGGTTCTGGAGGCCAAGAACTGGGCACCTGGCTAGCTTCACCGCAGCCTCAGTTTCCTTCTCCAGCTGCCTGTGTGCTCTTGAGAGGGTCCTACAGATGCACCCCCATACCTGATCACATGTACTCCTTTCCCAGGGGCCCAGGAGTCCCACCTTCCGGTTGTTTTTCCTCCTACCTCCACCCCACCTTCCGCTAAAACAATAAAAGCAGGCTGAAAGTCCTGAAAAGGAGTCTCCAGAGAAAGAACAAGGAGCTGCCCCAGCTCTCTCACTCACAGGCGCAGCCCAGCTGGGGAGGTGGGGGCGTCTCTCCCGGGAGCTCACAGTGTCCTGCTGACCTCCTGGGGAAGCTCACTCTACATCTGAGGGCCAGCTGGCCATCCACTCTGAGCACCCAAGTTCCCGGGTGCCGTTCTCCACTTTCCGCCTCTGCCCACGTTGTTTGGTCCTCCCCACTTCCAATGCTCCATCCCCACCTGGCCCTCACCCCCATTTCTCCCTCCTGCCTCTTCCCCTGCAGCTCACTCGTCCCAGGTGAGCCTCTCATCGGGCAGCAGCTGCTTCCCTCTCGGAACCCCCAAGTTCTTTGCACCGCCAGAGAGCCCACCCATACAAGGCAGAGGGCTTCCTGGGTGGGGAAGAGGGCCCGAGTGCCCCAAAAGGAGGAGAAATAGGCAGAGGGACTGGAATGCCTTTGTGTTGGGGGCGCATCTCCTGCTCACCAGCAGTGAGGGACATGAAGGCCTGGATGCCTGGACACACTCCTCTTGCCAAGTGCTACCCCAATCCTGTGCCTTTCCTGCAGGCCTCAGGGCCAGCCCCTCCCCCAGGCACCAGTGCCACGCTGGCAACTCTGGCATGGTGCCCATGCCCACTGGTACTGCCCCTGCCCCGGATGGCCCCAGGATTTCCATGCACCTTGGTCCTGAAGCTTCCTCAAGACCAACCGCAGGGTTTCAGTGATGGCTCAATATAGAGTCTGGGGGGGGCACAGCAGGGCGAGCAGTCTGCCCTCAGTGCAGTAGAGCATCATGCCTGGGGACCTCTGACTGGATACAGAACAGTGACAAGGGGCATCGTGTCTACCCCACTGGCTTGCACGCCATGCCTTCAGACTCAGTCTCAAACTCACCATTCCCAGCCGTCCGCACACACCAGTCCTCACTTGGACCAGCAGATGCTCGGATGGCCCAGCTGCCACACATACACACACCCCTGCGCTCTCACAAAGCCAGCCGTGCGTGCGGGCACGCTGCTTTACATCCTAACACTTACGCCCAGGCCAATGAACACAGGTGCCAAGATTCCCGCTCCATCTCACACGCACACACCTCTCCTACAGGCTGAATGAGTCGGCTTCCCGTTTGGCCCATGTCCCCTGGGATTTGAGCTAGGGCACTGGGAGCAGAGATGGGTGCTTCTGAGGGGCAACTGAAGGTGGATGACCTGAAGGGAGGACTCTGGCTCCAAATTCCTGTGGAGGGACCCAGAAAGCAGGACAGAGATGATGACAGAGAAACAGAGTCAGAGACTTCAAAAGCAAGGAGAACTCAGGACATTCTAAGTGGCTCTGAGTCCTTCCCTTCCAACTATGCACCTGGAGTCCCCCAGAACCCCTGGTAGAGTCAGTGATTTCTCAAAATCCCCAAATCTGACCTCCACGGTACCCTAGTTCCCTCCATCCCCAGTGCCAAAGGCAAGGGATGCTGGGGTCCCAGCCCGTATGGGAAGTGGCCCAGGCCGCCCTGGAGCCTCCCACTCCCAAAATAGAGCTGAGTTTGTCTTTGGCTGAAAGCTAAATATTTGTGAGCCGGGCAGGCGGCCTCAGACCCTGGCCCTCCTCCTTGGTTCCCTCTCAGGCCCGGGCCCAGTTCCTCTGGGCAGCCCCCCCACATGCACAGGGCTGCCCTTCTCCCCTCTCCCATAGCTCACCTCCTCCTCTACACACACCGGCCCGGAGGCCCAGTGCCTGCCCACTACAAACCAGATGGGCTGCAGCTCAGGCTCAGGCTAGGAGCTCCCGGAGACGTGACCCCCAAGGCACCCCAGTTGCTGCCTGGTGCCCACTCCACCAGCCTGCTCACTCTCTCCCCCTGTCTGCCAGGCTGACCTGCCCCCCACCCCTCCTCTTCCTCCTCTCTCCATCCCTGGCCAATCCTCAGGGCTGGCGTGCGGGGCAGACCTCAGAGGTCCATGCCTTCTTCTGACCTGGCCCCTCTCATCTGCCTTTGACTGCTGTCTGACCCCTGGCCCCACTCTCTCCAGCCCTTCCTCCTGCCCTCCGCTCCCCCCCCCAGCCCCGTCCTCTCTCCTCATCAGGGGGACCCTGGAAGTGACAAGCACCACAGCCACTGTCTGTGTGAGTTGGGAGGTGGGGGGTGCGGGCAGGGACTAGGGCCATTAGGACTGTCGCTGGTGTCCTGGGGGGAAGAGGGGGCAGTTACCTCAAGCAGGGAGGACGCCATCCTGAGGCTGGGGAACGGGTCCCAAGGAGCCAGGCAGATGGAGAGAGCCAGCCGAGCCGGAGAGAGAGGGAGAGGGAGAGGGAGGGAGAATGGGAGAATGGGAGAGAAGAGATCTAAAGTTAGAAGGGACTGGGGGGTGGGGGGTGGGGGGGCTGCTCTCTGTCTGTAGGGATCCACCCTCTAATTACAGCTTTCCCAGCGGAGAAGGCTCCGGATCCAATGAGCAGGGCGAGAGAGGGAGGCAGAGGGTCCAAATTTCCTGCTCCATTTGCTGAGCTCCCCAAAGAAGGGATCTGGGCGGGAGAGGAGAAACAGGGCTCCAGGGAAGGGGGTGGAAGCAGGAAGAGGGTAGGGCCATGGGCAAGTTGTCAGGGTGTCCTGGGGGGTGCTGGGGGGGGAGTCGAAGGGGTGGTGGGCCCAGGTGTCCCTCACCCTGCCCCCAGCAATCCCATAAGCATCTGTGGGCACCCCTCCCAGGGCTCCCCGGTGTCATGTACCTGGGGGCTCTGGGGCTGGGTGTCCGGGGGTCTCTCCTCCCTGGAGGTCTGGCAGTGGGAGTGCGGGCAAGGGGTGACCTCAGGGCCCCGGGAGGGCTCCGCTCCTCTCCCAGGCCAGCCGCACTCCTGTTCCCACTCGGGCTGCGATCCTACAGCCCTACTCTGACTGCAGAGTCCTGGCTGCCGCCGCCGCCGCTCTCCTACTGCCGCTGAGGGAAGGAACAGGAGGGAAAAGGAACAAACCCCAAACCACTAATTAGAGATCGGGGGGGGGGGATGGGGGATTGGGGACGACACTCACACAGAGAGACTGGAACACACTGACAGACACACTCATGGACAAACACAGGATGATACGTGCACACGTCCGCACACACGGTGCTGCCCACACAGCCACCGCCGCTGCCATGAACGGACACAGACAAACACATGTACGAACGGGCACAGTGACATGGCTGGGGGTGCACACACCACCACCCCCCCCCGAGCTGACCACAGAGACGCTTGCTTCCCCCATCACGACCTCTAGATCAGGAGAACAGTGTGTATGTGCGTGTGTACACGCGCACGCGTGTGTGTGCGTGTGCGTGTGTGTGTGCGTGTGTGTGTGTGTGTGTGTGGTGAGAGACAGGAGGGAGGCCGTGCTCTGGGTGGAGGCTTCAGCTGCCTAAACTTTCAGGGTCACTGAGGTAAGTTAGAGAGCAAGGCCTGGAGGAGGGGCGGAGAGTGGGAGGAGGGCTTGGCACAGGCTCAGGGGCTCCCCAGTCTTCTTCCCAATGCCTCAGTTTCACTTCTCGAAAGTAGCACCTAGGCCTACCTCCCTTTGTGGGGCAGAACCTGGATCTTTTGATTCTAAGAAAATTGAAGGTGGGTAGGAGTGAGGGTGGAGGTGGCAGGTCATTGGGTCAACTCATCTGTGCCCGAGCCTAGCCCCTTTGGATTCACTCCCAAAAAGAGAAGCCCTGGCCTCCGTTATTCCTTGCCAGTTACCATCCCCCGGCTCCTCTTGGCCATACACCAAATCTCCATCCTTTGCTGGATAGTTCTGAGTGGTCATGCTTTCCTGGGAGGGAGCTCCCCGTTCCCTTTGTCATTGTCATGCATCAGTGTCCTCTTGCAGCAGGCAGAATTGAAGTTAGAGCTGCAGCAGGACTTCCCAACGGTGACTTCTCATCAGAATGGGGAAGAAAAGAAGGAAGGTCAATTAGGTTGGGAGAAGGAAACCCAAAAAGTCTATGGCCTGAAATCTGGGCCCTGAGGTAAGTTTCTGGGAAAGAGGGGACCGGGTCGCCAGTGGGTAGCGTCTCTCCCACAGAGGGGCCCAGCCAGCCACGGTTGCTTTGCAAGTTATTCCCCAACATAACCCTCAGCCCCTCCTAGCCTCCGTCCATCAGAGGAAAGGAGACATGTCCTTCCCCACTCCCCTCACTTCCCAACACAGTTCCCTCACTTTCTCCCCTTGCGTGCCCACTTCCCTGCTCCTTTTGCTCTCACTGATGAAGAGGTGGGGAGGAGGGAGGAGCACCCTGGAGGTCCAGGGAGGGTTAAATGCAGTTTAACCAGCAGGCAGGATCAAAGTTCAGGACCAGGCATTTGGATTCCAGCCCCATTATGTGAATTCCCCAAGGAACGCTGTAGGCCCAGCATTTGGGGAAAGGGTTAGGGAATCAGGGTGTCTGGCTGACAAATGGAAAAGAAGCAAAAAAAAAAAAAAAAAAAAGAAGAAGAAGAAGAAAGAAAGAGTAGAAAGACCCAGAGATACACAGAACAAATAAAATGATCAAGAGAATCAGAAGAGACGCTGTGGGACATAAAAGAGAAAGAGACAAGAGGGCAACAGAAGACCAGGTGCTGCTTGGCTTTAAAAAAGCAGAGAGAGTGGGGGGGTGGGGAAGGAAAAGGAAAAGAAACGGGCCCAGAAGAACAAAGATAGAGACAATGGCTTGGAAGGACAGGACAGAGAAAATAGCCGGAGGCATGGCCAGGTCTGGAGGAGGCAGAGGGTTAAGCGGCTGGGCAGGTGGGGGGCGGGGAGGGAGTATAAATAGCGCATAATTGTGTCCGATGATTACACGGGCCACCCCACCCGTCTGCCCAAGAGGAAGTGCCCGTGGTGGGGTGTCCCCGTGACCTCCCAGTCTCCCCCTGGTGGGTGCATCTGAGGCTGAGGTGCCAGATGGATTTCTGCCGCCCCCCCCCCCCCGGAAAGCTAGGATGAAGGGGAAGCTTTGGAGAAATTACTGCACAGCCAGCAAAAAAGCCTGAGACCAGTTGGATCAGGCAGGCCACTGAGGCAGAGGAGAAAAGTCTAGACTCCAGAATAGAGAAGAGGTGGCAGGTGAGAGAAGGGGTTGGGGCTCAGCCTAGATTGGGAAAGAAAGGAAGAGACTGAAGGGAAAACAAAACAGGATGAATGGAGGTGCAGGGCTGGGGAGAGGAGGTGGGGAGGCAGAGAAGTTCAACCTTGTCTACTTCCCTTGGGGGCCTTATCCCTAATCCTACCTGGGAAGGGGTAGGAGTGCTAGGGAAGGAAAAGGAAGGAGCAAGGTTCCTAGAACTATGTGCGCCAAGGGTCCCTGATATGTTACCCCCAGTAGGATAGTGCCTGGACACACAGTCCCCTCCCAAAGGTCAGTGCCAAAGCCAGGCAGAGAGGTTGCCTGAAGCCCCCAGCTGCCTCCCTTGGGACCCTGGGTTCTGACTTCTATACCCTTTTTTTTTTAAGTGTTGAATTTTATTTATTTTTTAAAGATTTTATTTATTTATTTGACAGAGAGAGAGAGACAGTGAGAGAGGGAACACAAGCAGGGGGAGTGGGAGAGGGAGAAGCAGGCTTCCCGTGGAGCAGGGAGCCCGATGTGGGCCTCGATGCGGGGCTCGATCCCAGGACCCTGGGATCACAACCTGAGCCGAAGGCAGACGCTTAACAACTGAGCCACCCAGGCACCCCATCTTACACACCCTTTTTAAAGATAGTCCTACTGGGCGCCTGGGTGGCTCAGATGGTTGGGCGTCTGCCTTCGGCTCGGGTCGTGATCCCGGGGTCCTGGGATCGAGTCCTGCATCGGGGTCCCTGCTCCTTGGGAGCCTGCTTCTCCCTCTGCTTCTCTCTCTCTCTCTCTCTCTCTCTCTCTCCCTCTGTCTCTCATGAATAAATAAATAAAATCTTAAAAAAAAAATAAAGATAGTCCTACTGCCCAGTTGAGGCCCTAGTATTCCTGGGTTCAGACTCCCACCCCCCCTTCCCAGTGCCCCCAGGGGCTAGGGGCAGCAACTGGGAGCCCTGACCAAGGACCTGCCTCCACCCTTACAGGCCTCCCTCAGCCCAGCCTCCCAGGGGGTGGGGCAGCCCAGGCAGAGGCGCCATGTGGCAGGGGCGGGTAGAGGCTGCGGCTCTGGTCCTTCCAGTATAAACCCCCTAGGCATCTGGTTTCTATCCACCACCCCCCACCACCCTGGGGGCCCCTCAGCCTCCGCCCATGGCCACCCAGACACTGAGCTCTGAGATGGACGCCCCTGAAGGAAGGGGTGGGATGGTGCCTTTCTGATCTCTCAACCCCAGGACTGGGCTGAACCACAGGGACCGCTCCCTTCCCTCCCTCCCCTAGAAGTATCAAGGTGGGATTTCTAGGTTAGAGGGGTTGAATCTGGAACCTGCCTCAGTTCTTTCTAATGGTTGGGGATCCTTTGGAAAGTTTGGGAGGGGGGTGGGAATGGGTGAGACAGTGAAACCCGGGCAGAGTGGAAGATTCTATCCCCCTACTCTTCAGGGAAGCTGCCTCCTTCCACACCCGCTGTCCTCTGCCCACCCTCCTAGGCCGGGCTCCCGCTGACAGCCCTACACCAAAGGGACTCCTAACCCTTTCCTGTTGTTGTAGAAGGTTTGGCTACCCTAGAATCACCAGTGAACAGCCAATAGAGGCCCTGAAAGTAGAGTTGGACACACACTCGAATACATACCTAACAAGTGACACCCTTTCAGATACATACTTGCACACATGCTGAATTAGGAAAATATGTTGACCCTTGAATAACACAAGGGTTAGGGGCACCAACCCCCTGACAGTCGGAGATCAGCATATAACTTTTGATCCCCTGCAAATGTAACTACTAATAGCCTACCGTTGACCGGGAGCCTTACTGATAACATAGTCAGTTAACACGTATTTTGTACGTTCTATCTATTATATACTGTATTCTTACAATAAAGTAAGCTAGAGAAAAGGTAATGTTATTAAGAAAATCATCAGAAGGAGAAAATATGTTTTTGTACTGTACTGTAAAAAAAAAAAAATGGGTGTATAAGTGGGCCAACACAGTTCAAACCCATGTTGCTCAAGGGTCAACTGAATACTTTGCAGGTACCCACACGGATACATACTGATTGTATATATATATATATACACACACATATATATATATATATAGCCTATGGAAAAGATGTTTATACCAAGGTACTTAGCCTAACCCCCAATCACAAAAATGCACACAGAAGTTTGCATA